TGTTATTCACAAATTATTTGAATGTGCTAACAAATGAACCATTGTTAGCAGCTTTTCTCATGTCATTTACCGGTTCTTGGTAGATGTTGCTTCTTGTTACAGAGGCTGTTAAATGAGAACTGTGCAGCATGTGTAGAGATATAATAAATTGCTACAGGAAGTGCTACACAAATGAAGAAAATTGGCCAAATATTTTTTCTCTGACATCTTCTAGAAAGTGACAGCAAGTCTCACTGGAACACAGGGGGAGGAGGAGGAGGAGGTGTTCAGGGAATTTGGGAGTTCCCCATACTGAGGGGTTAATTTGCTGAAATAAACAAAGTATGCAAACATAACTTTCTACACAAGCTGTGGAGTACAGGTTTCTTGAATTGTTTGGGGTTGGGTTCATTTTTTTTCATTTTGATGCTAATTAAGATAAAATATCTCTCACTACTGAATTTTGTTGATCAAGTTTAAGTACTTCCCTAATGTAATTTTTTGGCATTAATACACTTTATCATTGTCATAAGTACAAATAGCTCATTAAAACCAGGAAGGAATACAATACTTTTATGGATTGCTCTCATGTTATTGCTGTTTTCCTTTCCTTCCCCATGAGTAATCTCTTTATGGCTTCTGTCTCCACAGAACAGAGATAACTACATCCATTCCTGCAGATTGCTTCCAGATGGCTGCACCCTGATTGTCGGTGGGGAAGCCAGCCTGTTATCCATTTGGGACCTGGCAGTTCCAACTCAATGTATTAAAGCAGATATAACATCTTCTGCTCCAGCTTGCTATGCCCTAGCTATCAGCTCCAATTCCAAGATTTGCTTCTCTTGCTGTAGCGATGGGAATGTTGCAGTGTGGGATCTACATACATAACCAGACATTAGTAAGGTAGGTTGACAGAACTGGATCGTCAGGTTGTGAAGAATTAATTTGACATAGACTTACATGCTCTTCTACTTAAATATGTTCTTTTCTTAATGGTTTCAACATAACTGCTTTCAGTATTTCATCACTGGGCAATAACCATGGTAACACCTGGTAGTTCTATATAATTGTTTGTAGGTTTTGAGAGTTTCATAATTCCAGGCCTATCAAGCAGCCACAGAACTTTAATTGCCTAAGATGAGCTGGCGTTCCAATGTTGTTCGTTCTTTGAACAGATGGATTTCTTTGTTTCCACTGTGCTCACACTCCAATCTCTTTAATCAGTGCTCTGGCAAGCTTCTCTTGGGTAAAGATGTGTGTAAATGCCTGCATTGCACACTTCAACATCTTGAGAGTATGGGTTGCTATTCAAAACTAATGTACAGTTATCTAGGAACCAGTAGTACAAAGCTTACCTATATGTTGCACTGTGTATATATTATTATAAATAGTATATCAGTATTGCATGTAAAGGTGGGCTTTTCCCAGCTGATGCTCCCATTTAGAATGCTCTGTTTTTAAACCTTTTAATGACCTGCATATTCTTTTTAAAGTGTTGTGGTTTAACCCCAGCCAGCAACTATGCACCACACAGCCACTCACTCACTCCCCCCTGGTGGGATGGGGGAG